TTTTTTTTTTTTTTTTTTTAGAGGAATCATGACTGACTAACACTTGTCTTACTTCTTCCTCCTTCGAGTTAACTGAAAATGCAAGGTTTAATTGTATACTTGTATTCTATTTTGTAACACTTTTGCTGCATGATTGGTCACCACGAACTCAATGAAAACCTTTGATTGAACCACATCATTACACAAGGGTTGAATATTAGTATTACTCGGTCCTGATTGCATATGCGAAAAAACATGAATGTGAACGATGCACAAAAATGCAAATCACAAAAATCGTAGTGAAGTCCGAGTAGATAGCACAATGCGACCAAGTAACCATCCATTTGAGAACGGTACAGTAGAATCAAGAGTCAATGCCCAAGTCCAATCGGGCAATACTCACAGTAAATCCTAATGAAGCTTTCATTCTTGAAAGGCGTCAGGCGCGTTTCTTCCCCCCCTCTTTTTTTTTTTTTTTTTTTTTGACATCGGTATTTCGTACTACGATGATCATTAAGCGGGATAAATATAGTTTCGTATTTATCTTTTCTTACCCACAGGGGTAAATAGTACACAAGGTCATGATTGTCTGCTACCTTCATCTTCTTTATTCTTTCTTGGAGTTTTTAACTAATAGTTGCATGTGACTTATTCATATTAGATATATCCTACCCTTTTTTTTTTTGCCCTACTCCCTTTTCGCCGTTATCTTGTCCTCCTCTTTTTTTTTTTTTTTTTTTTTTTTTTTTTTTGCAAAATGTCGACTGGCAACAACTCTATGCGTGATTAATGGGTAGATAAGTTGAGTTTTTTTGTGGTTCTTCCATCCGATCTGGTACTGCCTCGATTTGCAGATTTAATCAATTATTATTAGTTCCTTAAACAAGCACATGCAAATGATAACGAAAAAAACGATCTGTACGAGAAAACAAGCTTATTAATACTCAAATAGTCAATCAAAAAAAGGAACTCGATGATAGCAAAACCAAACAGAGGAGGCAAAATCACTCTTATTACATCATTTGCAAATGAGTCGGAATTCAGGGGGGGAGACAAAAAGATTGAGAAGCTCTGTGGAGAAGGAGAAAGAAAGTGAAAAGATGGAGAAGGAAGAGGATAAAAAGGAAGAAGAAGATAAGAAAGTCCAGATTTCTGCAAGTTCTGGGCTTGCGTCGTTGCCTTGGGTTTTTTGGGGTGAGTGCAGGGGAAGGTTGGGTAACTGTAGGGGGTTGAGAGGGGGGGTTTGTGACGAGGAAGAGAGGTTGAAGCGGGAGGTGAGATGGTGATGGGGGATCTGAGGAAGATGCGTCGTCAATCTCTGATTTTCCAGACTTCTTCTTCCTGGAATGCTGCTGAGGGACCTGCCTCCCCTTCCTCTTCATTACTAACTATCCTATGCCTAAAACTAAAGCACCTCTAATATCCCTTCCTGGAAAAGACAATTAGCCTAGGATAGTCGGGAATGAATGGCGGAGATGGTTCAATCGGCAAGGTCGGATGCAACACATAGTTAGGAAGCTTGCCACATGCTTGCTTCCTCAGGTAGCGGAACTAGGGACCTGGTCCCCACTCTGAAAGATTATGGAGATTGAGATCTGGTACCGCGTCGTCGCCCAAGTAGCAGAGAAAGTCTTTGAAGAAGGATGACACAGAAAAGGCGAGGAATGGTGAGGATGGCAGCCCATGAAGGTTCTGCACTAGTGTTAGAAAACCTTCTCCAACCCAAGATTCGGCCGACGGTGAGCCGATTTTTGCGATGCACATAGCAAAACAAAAGAAAAAGGCCGAGATGTCTTGAGCGCTCCTGATTTGGAAGTCGGCCAGGTCCAGTTGAGCTCGCAAGAGTTCCCTTGAAGATAGTGAAGAGAGAGGGCGCGAATCAACAGTGAGATGATTGAAGATGGTTGGTGAAAAGATCGAATGAGAGAGCAACTCGGCAGCCCGTTTCCTCTTTATTGTTAAGAGGTTCTTCTAATCATGCTGGAATCTGAAAGTGGCCGCAGAGGAGACGAAGTCGACGGCGTCTTCCACGTTGAGCAGCTCACCATACGTTCTCAGAGTGGTAATGTTCTGAATCCTTCTCAATGATGAGGGAAGGATCCGAGGTAGGAGGAAGAGATGAAGGGGAAGGATGGATGCCGTCGGAGGGTCTATGACGAAGATGCGCTGCAGCGCAGGATCCGTGGCGATGGGGGGAGAGAGGATGTGCGGTGCAATGGTTGAGAGAGAATGAGGGAGGAGGTGCGCGGGATAGTGATGTTTCAAGAAGGGGTCATAGAGTGGGGATTCGTCACGCGGTGGTGAATGATAGGATGAGGTGGGGGAGGAATGGTGGGGAGATGAGGGGGGCGAATTGCGCGGAGTTGAATTGGGACGTTCTCTGCGGTTGGGGGGGGAACTGGAGGCAGCGGAAATGACTGGACCTTGGGGGGGGTAAGCGGGGTTCATGACTGCAGGGGGAGGGTATATGGACTTACCGGGTTGAGTGAGCAGGGTAATTCCAGAATAACTTGACTAACCGACAGACGAATGAACCGACTGACAAAAGTGGACTAGGGGGAGACAGTGACTGAAGACAGGTAGGCGGGCGGAGGCGGGGCAATGCGTAGGAAGGGCGGCAGAGTGGTGTGAGGAAAACAACTCGGCCTCTGAGCGAAACCTGGTGCTCCTGGTGTGCCTGCAGGTTCGCCTACGCGATGGGTGAGGCAGCCGGCGGACGAAATCCCGAAGTCGCTCCGCGCGAGACGAACCAACCTGCTGCGACCGGTCCTATGCCTGTTACATATACTCTTGCAGCGCCCGGATCCAGTGGTGGTCGGTCCTCCAAGGGACTCCTTTCCTGCAGGGTGAGTTCCTCTATTCTTTCCTTGATCTTGGTTCCGCAAACTCCCAACCGTGGATTGCCGAAAATAGAGAATCGCATCTTTAGGAAAATAGGCCCGTTCTTGAAAACTGAATATCTGTGGCTTAGAATCTCTTGAAGTAGTTGAAGCTGAAATGACCTGTAGGACCCCGTGCGTGTGACAGTTTGTTGGATCTGAACCCACCGAGTAGGTACCAACTGAAAGAGGTGGAGTAGGACAGTTGCATTGGGACGAGCTTTAAATTTTATTACAAAATCCATTGGACCTCACAATTCAACCCGGCGTCCCCCCCCCAAAAAAAAAAAAAAAAACAATTCAACCTGGAGAAATATTTTTAGGTAACAAGTACTGTGGCAAGAAAGCCTCAGCCTCCTTCTCGTTTCTGAAGTGTTGGGAACACCCACCCACCAACCAATGGCGTCACGAAGTTGTGGCCTGTTTGCGTGCCATCGAAGTGTCCAACCAATACATCGAGGAGGTCTGAACTGGCAGACGTCATCTTGTTGACCCGCACGTTTTTTTATATTTTTATTTTTTTTAACTAATCTTATATTCTTCACTCAGTCTTCTTTGTATACATTTTCCTCATCTATCTCACCCTCTCGCCACTCTTATGCATAGTACGGGGGCCAAGTCCCACTTACGCTGATCGTTCATTCCTGGCCGTTGATCTTCCTAATCTATGGTCGGAAATTGAGAATTCGGATAGGTGGGACTTGGTCCCGGGGGAACACCAACCACCCCTGGAACTCTCCACAGCCCACTGGGAGGTCCTCAATGGGCCGCAGGTTCTCACCTCCGTGGGCCTTTCTGCACCATTCACCAACTCCAACATTAGGAATGAATCTGAACATGTTTACGTCCTGATACGTTCAGAATGTTGGCATTAGGCTCCACGACTTGACTAAAGTAACGCATGCTCTCAAAAAAAACAAAAACAAAAAAAGAGTAACGCATGCATCTTGCCATTCTCCGCTGGTAGATGCACTTGCACTTTTTTTTTTTGTGGAGAATTTGAAAACCTCTGTATAAAGGACCTCACAAAGAAAAAAAAAAAAAAAAAAAAGAGAAAGAGAAAGGACCTTACAATTTCTACCCGGAATATACGGGCCCCTTCACCCAGCGTCCCTCATCACCTCGAAAACAGGCTCTCCAAAACACCACATTACCCAGCCCAGCTTGTACTTCTTTTTAAAAAAAAAAAAAAAAAAAGAGAAAGAGAAAGGACCTTACAATTTCTACCCGGAATATACGGGCCCCTTCACCCAGCGTCCCTCATCACCTCGAAAACAGGCTCTCCAAAACACCACATTACCCAGCCCAGCTTGTACTTCTTTTTATTATTTTATTTTTTTTAATTTATTATTATTATTTTTTTCAACCACTAGTACCTCCGAGCCTATTTTCGACAAGTTTTGGTCTACCCAGCCCAGGGGCCAAGTCCCACTAACAGCGTTGAGCTACCTTAACGCATGAATGTGGACGCTTTTGCGGAGACGTGCAGAATTGGTGTCGAGTTTCCTGAACTGCACGTCTCCACAAACACGTCCAGATTCAGGCGTTGAGGTAGCTCAACGCTGCTAGTGGGACTTGGCCCCAGCTTGTACTTCTATTCGTTCCGACGGTGGAGTGGCGAGGCCCTCAGAAAGGGCAAAAAAAGCTGGAAAGAGAGCGAAAAGGAAAAAAGAGGCTATATATCGATAATATATAATATGTATATATATATGTATATGTATATATACATATATAAAAAAAAGAGGCCTGTGCTTGGGCATCCTCACACTAGAATCCTCACACTAGAATAGAGCTGGATACTACCCGTAGTTGTCACGACGCGGATGCGTTGAAAGGGAAGGACATCATCGTTGGTGGTACTTTGCATGCATATATCATTCAAACAGGGGCACGGTTCGCTGTGCTGTAGTCGAAAGTGCCAAGGCTCTTCGTTTTCGCTTGTCGACTTGGCGCGCTGTGGTGTTGTGTGTGTGTGTCTGTTATCGAAGGGTGGGCTGAAGCTTGGCGCGCGGCGCTGCTATTTTCGCGCTGGAATCGCAGGTAAGCAAGAACGGTTGCAGTCTGTCGTATCTGTCTAGATTGTCGTATCTGCCTTCTCGCTTGCTGCGCGCCGATTGATGAGGGAGAGCATGAAGTGGGTCGTCGGGGCGATTAGAACGTCGTTGTTTTCTCGAGAAAAGATGATCTGGACTTAAGAAAACGAGAAACGATGATGACGATGACAAAAAAAAAAAAAAAAAGACCACGAGGAGGGTGATGGTGAGGAGGAGGGGGATGAAGACGACGACGATCATGATGGTGATGATGATGATGGTGATGTTCTCATCGTCATCCTCATCCTCATCCACCTCCTCCTTACTCTCCTTCTCCGCAGCATCATCATCCTCATCCTCATCCTCATCCACCTCCTCCTTACTCTCCTTCTCCGGAGAAGGAGAATAAGGAGGAGGTGGATGATGATGATGATGATGATGATGATGATGATGAGGAGGAGGAGGAGGAGGAAAAGGAAGGCGAGGAGGAGGAGGAGGAGGGAGAGGAGGAGGAGGAGGAGGGAGGAGAGGAGGAGGGAGAGGAGGGGGGGCAGGAGAAGCATGATAAGGGCGTGTTTGTGGAGAGGTGCGGGAAATCGGGATCTACCTGCTTTTCTGCACCTTTGCTTGAAATCCGTCCATATTCAGGCGCTTTATCCCATCCTCTTTGCTAGTGGTTCGGATTTATTTCCGGATTGTCTAATTGAGAAACGTTATGAAAAAAAAAGAAGGAAAAAAAGGAAGGGAAAAAAAAGAAAAAAAAGGAAAAAAAAAGGAAATATAAAAAAAAAGAAGGAAAAAAAAGAAGGAAATAAAAGAAGAGAAAAAAAGAAGGGTAATTGATTCCCCAGGGGAAAATGGATCGGAACTGGAGATCTTATGTGGGTATGATTTTTTGGGGGGAAAGCGAAAAGCAGAAACGCGTCAAAACTTCAAAATGATTTTTTGTTTGGATTTTTTGTATGCTTGTACGAAATTTCCTTTTTGAGGCGTTTTTTTATTTCCTCCCCCCCTCCTCTTACTTCTGCTTGTAACAATGAAAAATGATAAAAAAATCAGATCGACAATTTTTACTTTGCAATTTCGAACGCTGTTTTTGATTTTTTTTATCCCCTTATTTGTTCTTGTAACAATAATAATAAAATTATAATAAAACTGTTAAAACATCAGACCGGAAAAATAATTTGCACCATTCTGAACAACGGCTCGGCTACCATCTTCACCCGATTAGAACGCCCGGGCCTTGTAGCTGAAACAGGTGCAATTTCCAGTCCAGATGCAGCGATAATGACCGGGCCTTGTAGCTGAAATTGGTGCAATTTCCAGTCCAGATGCAGCGATAATGACCGGGCGTTCTATTCGGGTGAAAGACGGTAGTCTTTAACCCCCCCCCCCCCCAAAAAAAAAAAAAAAAAAAACACGAACGCAACGCACCCTCTTCATGCCTGTATCGGACCGGAAAGATTGTTTCTCTGCATTTATGCTCGGGGGTTGCGTTGTGTTCGGGGGGGGGAAGACGATAAGAATCGGATAGAAGACGATAGACGACTTGGAGCAATACGACTGCTGGCGCCATAGTTGAGAAAATCACCATGCAATGGAAAATTCAGATGAAAATTCAGGGGAAAGTTCGAATTGCAAGTCGGTCGCCGACATGCAATCGAAGACGTAAAAAAAAAAAAAAAAAAAAAAAAAGAAAGTTACGAACTTGTCAAATTTTTGGAAAAAAAAATAAAAAATAAAATCGATCGTCAAATTCAACAGTGAAGTAGATAGTTTCAGCTATGGCGTTCCCACCCAGGAACTGAGTTTAAAAAAAAAAAAAAAAAGGGAAAATTTCACTTCATGAAATTTTGGACACTGCAACTGAAAGTTGAGAGGAAATTTCGAATTCCGAGTCAGCTATGGCGCACTGCCATTTTTTCCCTCCCTTCGTTTTTCTTCGATTTTTTTTTTTTTTTTTTTTTTTTTCACAGGATGATTTTTTCTCGAGTTGCTTCGGGCTCTGATTTTCTTTTTCAGGAAAACGAACGTAACCCCCACGTGTGCTCTGTCTGTGCTGTCGCTGGAAGTTGCCGTGAAGTTGGGGGGAACTTTCATGGGAAGTTTCTGAACTTTCTGGACCTGGAACTTAGTCGTTACATTGAGGAATCGTGATAATGCGGATTATTGTTGTCCGGCATAGCACTCCTTTTTTTTTTTTTTTTTTTTAATTTACCCTACTATTTCCAAACAATGCAGTTTCTCTTCCTGGCCTCGGTCCATTCATCATCACTTCAGCTTTTTTTTTTTTTTTTTTTTTTTCTTGTTTGGTAATTTGATCTGTCCATTTTTTTGTTGCATTTTTTTTTAAACAATTTTAGTATTACTCCTTTGACCAGGTGAGAGGACATCTCGGGAACCGAAATGGGCAGGCCCTACCGGGTTCTCGCCAAAAACAATACCGTATTGGATTTTCTTTTTATCAAATTAGGTGAACGCGCCTAAGTTAGAGAAACGGCGAACCGATTTTGAATTCGGTGGAAGCTGCTTGGATCGACCGGTAGATTGGAATCGGGCGTGTAGTCGTCCAAACGTTTTATATTAGTTTTTTGTAGAAGTGTTTTGGAACCGTAGAATTGGAATCGGACACCTTGTAAAAAAAAAAAAAAAAAAAAAAAAAAAAGTCGGACACCTTGTGAATCGATATGGACAGGAGGTATTCTAGAAGAAACTTGGACAGACCCACTGTGCCTTTCGTCAAAGGACCGAACGATTTTTTTTTTATTTTTTTTTTTTTTAGTGCGGAGTTTTTCATCCCCTAATTACAAATTTCTAGACATTTATCTCTCTCTCAGATGTACGTAGGACCGAACGATTTAGAGTGACGAGCGCATGAATTGGTGGCCCCCACAGAAAATCGTGCGTCACTCACGTGTGTGCTGCGCACGTCCACCTCGGTCGATAGTTTACGGGAGCAGCAGGCCCGTGATTCAGACGCATGTGACTAACATGCAAAATCGATTCCACTAATTTTTAAAATTGATATCTTTGTTGGTCCTGATGGTGTGCGCAGAATCTCAAATCGGTTGATTGTTGAACTAAATGTGGTATTGGCAATTATACTAATTTGTTAAATCAATCTGCCAAACTCCGTAACGAATCCAAACTGTTAAATCATTTTGTCCAAAAGGGTAATCATCAAAAAAAAAAAAAAAAAAAAAGGTTGGTAATCATTTATCTCAACCCATGTCCAGTATGTCTAAAATGCTCATCGTTTCTCCCAACCTAAATCTGATATGTCCAAAATGCTCAATACGTATCCGAACCTATATCGGCTGTCCAAATCGGTTCCGATAATGTACTAAATAGGAAAATCGAACTGACCAATTCGGTTTGATGATTGTCCAATTGAATTTTCGTATGTCCAAATCGTTTCATGGTCAAAGGAGTATTATATTTTTGTTTTGATTGTATTTTCAGTAGCAATTTGAACAGCATAAGCAGTGCTTTTTTTTTTCTCCTTTAAATCCACAGGTCCCCGAAGAAGAGCATGAAATTACTTGCCCTCGTATCTAAGTCCGTTTTTTTTTGTTTTTTTTTTTTTTTTTCTACTAAGTCTGTTATATCTACAGTAGGGTTATTGAAGCTAGCCTCTATATGAATTAATCTTTTTTGGGGGGTCTTTTGTTTTTTGGTAATTTGGCAATAGCATCTGCAGTACCGCGGCGGATCATAACAGGTTCAAGTGGATTGATTGATTGGTTTGCTAGTTGATTGACTGATTGGCTGGTTGAGTGATTGATTGATTGGTTGATTGATTGATTGATTGATTGATTGATTGATTGACTATTCGATGTATCGTAGAGGAGTGAAAAAACGAGCCTTAACATCCTTTTTCTTTTTTCTTTTTTTCTTTTTTTTTTTCGGTTTGCTTGTTGACCTTCGGATGCGTTTGTTTAAATGTTTCCCTTTTCTTTAATGTCCTCGGACATACGCACGCCGAAAGGATTCGACGTCACGCGCCGTGTTTTTTTTTTGATGTTGAATCATAAACTTAAATGCCTGTGCGAGGTAAGTGGGGTGCCCTTAGCCGTTCTGGTAGAGAAGATGAATGCGAGTTAGTGTCGAACTTGATTTCATCAGCGCCCTGCCGGATCCTATGAGCGCAAAATTGATTGGTTGATTGATGGATGGATGGATGGATGGATGGATGGATGGATCGATCGATCGTTTGGTTGATTGGTGGATTGATGGGTTGGTTGATTGATTGATTGATTGATTGATTGATTGATTGATAGATCGATCGATTGATTGATTGATTGATTGATTGATTGATTGATTGCCTATATATACATCCATCTTCGGATAGATTCAATCGATGCTTGCTTGCTTGATTAATTGATTAATGGATTGATCGATTGACCATTTGATTGACCGACCTATTGATTGTTTGACAAAGTTATTTTTCCATTAATGATTAGATGATTTCATTGATTGCTTTTTCGATTCTTGATTGATTGCTTTTATTGCTTCATTTCTTGCTTGTTTGCTTGATTGATTGCATGGATCAACTCTGTGCTTATCGGCTAAGAAAAATAATGAGTCGATGAGTCGATGACAGCTTCTCTTCAGATGCTTACATATTATATTTCCATTCCCATGCGCTTCGCAAATGCATCTGAGCGCCTTTAAGTGGTTTTGAATAGTGACCGGACTGTTTGTTGTTGAATGCGTACACAGCATGAATTGGACTTTTCCAAATTCTTAATTATGTAACTCTGATTAAAATTCCAATTCATGCGCAAATGCATATGAGCACCTTTAAGTGGTCATCAATTGGAATGTTAATCAGAGTTGGGCATAATTCAGGATTTGCAGAGTGGGATGTATGCTGCAGAAAGAAGGGGGGGAGGGGGGGAGGGTATGAGGTTACAGAGAGATTGTCTACTGTAATTGTGGCTGTTGGCAGGAAGAGCCGACCTGCATGTGGTTGTGGATAATATATGGACAGGCCTGCTTCATTCACTAACGAATGTTCAGGGGGAGGGTGTCGATGAATAAGAAAAGGGCAGAAAGATTTCTTTTCTTTTTTTCTTTTCTTTTTTTTTCCTTCTTCAAAAGCCCAGGTTGTTGTAGAGGCTGGATTACAGACATATGAGAGTCACCTTGGGCACTCGGCCATGTGGTAGAGGCTCCATAATCCTCCTATGGGACTCCCTCCCAACCTACCTCTTTCGTAATTTCTCCCGGCACACTCCTACTCCCGAAATCCTACCTCAGTGTCTACCACTCAGGATTGCCACCCTCCAGCCTTGGGGGTGACCTGACTGAACCGCGGTTGTAGGTACCAGGGCTAAGCTGAGTCCCACAGACCCCAGCCTTGTCGCCCAGGTACTTCAGGCTCTAGGTACAGACGTTTCACTACAAGTCCCATAGGTGGACCTATTTTGCGTTCCTATCGTTGTGTACACAGCTGATGGTACTGTTGTTTTGCTGTTTGTTGTTAGGTTGTTCTCTGTGCACACTTTTTTTTTTTTTTTTTTTTTTTTCTCTGTGCACACTGTTGTCATTACTACATGTTTTTTTTTTTGTTTTTTTTTTTTTTTGTTGATAGTGAACTTAACACAGGAGGCAGGCAACCCAACCAATCCTGTAGAGAGCCCCACCCACACAAGGGCCCTACCGGCACCGGCCATAGACTGTATGGAGTCTCACTCTCATCGACTGTTCCTCGTTCCATGGGCGGTCTGTAGGGTCCTAGTTCAGACAGACATCGACGGTGGATTGTAGTAAGTCTCACTCTCATCAACCGTTCCTGTTCCTGTTCCAGTTCCACGGGCGAGCTGTCCTAAGGGGAGCCCTCATCCTAACCCCTCCCGTACCTAGTGGCTGACCCCCCCAGATCTCCAGCTAGCAACGGGTCCCCCCCTACTCTAATCTTGCCCCAAGAAACCTACCAACACTGACTACAGTCTGTACTAAGTCTCACTGTCGTCAACCGTTCCTGAGGCTATGGGCGGTGTCTAGGTCTCGTGGTTCTGCCTCCCACTAGGTGAGCTTGTTTTGAACACACCACCTCATCCATGCAATCTTCTATCGAACCTACTGAGCTACTGTGGAAACTGAACGATTTGTACGCAACATCGGACTGGAAGGCAAATGAAAAATCATCCTCAAGTATGCAAGCCCGCAAAGAACCACTAGAGCCGAGAGCATCAGGCAAACATCCCACACCCCAAACCCAACATACAACAACCATGGACTTGCCCCTGGGTGGTGCGCAAGCAGTGTCTGTAATAGCTTACCTGCGTCAGCCCAGGGGAGTGTGTCCAGCCGTGCGTCATTCTAACGCCCTGCCCGTGTCCATGCACAAGGCTGCGAAGTTTTGAACCCGCAACCTGGTACCACAATGCGCATTTTCAACCGGTGCTCTAACCACTGAGCTACACCAACCGGACTAGGCAGGCAGAAAGGTTTCAATCTGCCAGAGCTACCTTCTTCAACCGAATAGAATGCCTGGTCATTATAGCTGTGTTTGGCCAACTTTCAGTCTAGGTACAGCGATAATTGCCGGGCGTTGATTTAATTTTGGTTTTTAGTCTAGGCTACCAGAGTGGCGAGGGACAACTTGCCCTTTAAAAAAAAAAAAAAAAAGGGGGGGGGGTTAA